GAATGTCAGTGTGACTGATCTCTCGTGATTGATAAGAACCTTTTGAGTGCCTTACACAATGGTTTTCTTGTGTGTTTATTGTCAAAGTGATGAGAGGCATCCCGTATCTTGAAGACTTTTCTTTCAGCCAAGAGTTCTTAAATATGCGGAGTTCATCTGGAATTGTAAGGAATGGTTAATGCCAAACACGGCGTCCTTTTCTACTCGCTTTACAGTCGAAGTGAGGCAGACATGCACAGCTCACGTGAAGGTCCTCTGACGTAACTGACGTCTTTGTACAGACAGCAAACCTGTTTCTGCAGCCTCTGTTGTTAGTCTCTTGATTCATAATGACTAAGCACACTTGACATCAACCGCATCAAGATGTGACGTGTTTTATAAGAAAAAGAAAAAAAAACATTTAAAATTAAAAAAAAATATTTTTAGGTATTTTCACAAACAAACTGGCTTTTAAATAAATTTGCTTCCATATTGGTTGGAAAAGACAAAAAGCAAGCAAACCGAGGGGGAAGTGAAGTGATGGATGTAGAAAGGCTGTAGGCGTCAGTTCTGTATTTTTCAAAGCCAAATATGTAAATGCTAAGGGAAGAACACAAAGAGAAGATTCCAATCTTGTAATTTAATATTGTTATTAAAACTTTAATGTATCCTATTCTTTAACATTTGGTGTTAATATTAAATTACTTGGCAATGCTTGACATTTGAAATAAACACTTTTCTATTGTTTTATTTATAAGTGGTCCAATTAATTTTGCTTAGCTACAGTTTGGTCATAAATCAAGTCAATTTAAAGACATTACTAAGTTACTAGGTTCTCCCCCAAAATTTCCCCTTTGAAGAAGGCCAGGTGATTTTTTCCAAGTATGAACTTGATCCCAAATAATATATGAGTCTGTTTTTGATCCGTCTTACTATATATACATACATATATAACTAAATATTTGCTAATACAAAAGCATTTACTCTATGTAGATAAATGCTAATAGATTTTAAAAGTTAATAATAAGAAAAAATATGTGAGGTTTGTTTTAAAGTGATTGAGCTTGCAGAAGAGCAGTATTAGTCATAAATAAAATCAGAAATGCCTTGAAAGTAGATTTTTACATATTTGCCCATTGATCAAATTTCATAAACAAAATAGAGGCTTTTAGTTTTAAAATTATAAAAGCTGCCATATACCCCTTGTATGCTGAATATTTTAAGCAATTTGAATCACATACAATATAATTTTGTCCCTTCTCACCAATGGAAACAATCCTAATATATATTATTTTTATATTTATTCTTCAGGTGGAATTACTATTTTAATATGCCCAATATGGATAAAATATCACACTTGCATAACTTTTGACTAAAGAACTTATATTTCTCTAGTTAATAAATTTAAAGGATCTATCTTTCCCTCCATAAAATGCCTTTGATTTCCATTGAAAGCCTCCAAATCAAATTAATTTAGTGTCATAAGCAATTATCTATGCCCAAAGGTTACTTTAAATATTTGCACTAGTCTAGTCATTTCTACAAGTCAGCCTTTGTGTGGCTCTTGGTATCAAGTGCTTTTAAAACATTTTTATTTATCACATCTCACAGAAGGGAAGGAAAACTGTAGGATTTATGGTAACCACTTGCATCTAGCATGGTGGCACATGGTATCATAATATTCTTCCTAGATTTTACTGACCAGGTCACAAATTCCTGCACAAAGTACAAGAGAAGTTTAGAGCATTTCTCCACATCAGGACTGTGGGAGGTACATTAAAATTTTTAATAATAAATGCTAGGATGACCAAATTGCAGACTAATTTTTCCATATTATACTTAAAATGAGTTTTTAAAAGTGAAAAAAAATACACAATCAATGGTATTTGTTGTACCTCTGGGCCTCCTCTTCCAAAAATTGAGCTTACCAATTTTCTCTGTCAAGCTTGAAATAATGTAAATAATTGAAATAATGTAAAGTTATATTTTCATGTTTTTATAGATACAACATGACAAGAATACATAATGTAAGAGTATTTCCACTATGGATAATGTTGATTGGATAATGCACATCTCAGTTACAACAGTAATCATAGTTTAATATCCCTGTACTGGTGCATCAGTGTATTGCTATATAAACATGTCTGTGCATATAAGTGAACAGTGCTCAAACAAGAATGATGACAGCCGTCTAAAGGTTTTTTATTCATTTTATATAAAACTGTTATGGAAAGACCAAAATGTTTATGAACTATTCTTATGTAAATTTACAACTGTCCTTTACTGTACTCTTTTGTTTACAGTATAGTACCTTATTTTTTGCTGTGTTGAGTGGGTGTCCAGCGCCAAGGAGACATACACTTTCTACTACTTCTACTGAAGATATTGGCATTTCCAATTTTTCATGTGTACTATGTCAGAAAATGCTTTGGATTTTATTTTTAAATCTAACATCAGATGGCTTTTTGGAGTGTTGTAAAAACTTCAGTCATACATAAAACATGTTCTTACAAAAGACAAAGATCTTTTTTATTATTTAAAAATACTTCAAACAAATAAGTGATAAACCAAAAAAAAAAAAAATGCGTTTAGCGTTATTCCCCAACAAATCTGTTTCCAGCGAGAGTATTTATTCAGCTTAGCACAGAGGAGCACAGACAATATAGAAATCTATGTTTTATATGCTGAAATGATTAATAATACTGGTATTCCATACCTGCAGTCATTAAATACTTGGGCACATGTGAAAATATGACTATTAATTATCTTCTTATTCTACAGATACACTCTACTGGCAAAATCCAGGCTTCACGATCTTGATCATCTACTATCTTATCATGTGTGGTCAGTCCATTTGCTGTATAGTCAAATTAAAGAGCAGAAAGGTAGCTTACTTTAAAAATCCTATGACTTGTTTTACCAAAAGGATATTAATGAGAAACTACAACCCTTACTGTTTTGATTAAGTTACATTTGTTCTTACAGAACTGATGATTTTAGTATTTTTCCAATCCTATTTCAGGTATTCTAACATGGGTAAAACATTTTAGTTTGTCAAAGTCATACTCAGTTTTTTAATTTTGTGGATTTCAATGTATTTGATGCTTAATACATGAATCCATCTGCTTAAAACACAGTTGTCTTAACTTTCAAATCTGGAAACACTAGAAGTATTTTTATCCTCAAGCAAATGAAGACTTAACAATATAGTAACCTTACAGGATTATGTTCAGTATGATGCTTTCAAGGGACAGTAAAATGCAGCACCATGCAATGTAATCCATGTCTGTCTTCTCTATCTCACCCGATTCTTCTTGTACATTGTCAGGGAAATGCAAACCAATAACTCGAGTATCAAGGCTAGCTCAGAATATCTATTTCTCAATATTTAAACCTGTTTTCTGCTGGCTGGAATTTATAATTATTGGTTTTTGTGAGCCGGCTAGACTGTCATGTAAAGGAAGAATAATTCAGACAGTTACATATTCTCTTTTAATTTAAGTGAAATTAAATATGTGTTCTGATTGAATTAGCCACATGTGACTCTTATCAAATTTAATTATTAATGTGTGGATTGTTAGTAATCAGCTTGGGTGAGTGTATGGGCCAGGTGTCACAGTTTTATAGGAAAGAATGCCCAAGGAGCTTATTAAAAGAAAGAGCAAGAATATAAATACTCTTTAAATGCAAAAGAGATCTGATACTTAAAATTGGTTTATTTTAAATCACCAAAGTGAAGGAAGGGTAAGTATAAGTGAACCATTATGATATCACGAATGAAAATTTTGAGCTACCTTAAATGGTTTGCAAAAGTTATATCCAGAAATTTAAAAGGTTTTATAATGTGTCACTATTGGCTAAACCATGACACAGGAAATGCTACTGGGCACTAATTGGTAAATTGTACTTTATTTCTATTTTAAAACAATAACTCACAGACAGAGTATGGTACTCTCAGTGTGTGAATGTTGCAATATACTTACATAAATGTAGTAGCATTCAGAGAGTGAGCCTAACATACCCATGCCCTGAGACCCAAAGATACTAGCAAAGTGCCTGGAGTTGTCTTGCACCAACAAAATCTGTGCTTGTGTTTTTTCTATTCGTTTCCTTCTGGGTTTCCCATTTTACATTCTCTTCATGCCCGTCAGTATAGCTGCCATTTTCCATACATACACATACTTCAAATCATGTCTCATTTTTCAGCTTCATTAATTTTTTTCGTGTTATTCTATCTGCTTTCTGCCTGTATGTCACGAGAGGTTTTGCTTGGAGGGCACTTGGAATGCAGTTCGTTTTGCAAAGACAGGACAGACAATTTCAAAGTCTTCTTCATAACTATAATAAATGACTGGAAATTTATTTAGTGAGATAAAAATTTCCACATGAGCTGTATTTCTACTTTCCTCACACACCCAGTACTTGCCCGTTCGTTATATTCCTCCATGTTCCTAAAGAGCCCCACAATTTATGGAGTTTCTGAAGGAAAAAGAAAGGTGTTTGAAGAAGCAGGAAGAGAAAGAACTCTGGTGCTAAAGTTTTTTCATCGAAATTCCTTTCTAAAGCAATTTTACAATATACCCAATCCAGTGACCCATTTTACCTTCACTCTCAAGTACTTGCGATTGTCTCCTCTCCCAGCAGGAATCAGTGTCACCATCCAGAGCCACTACAGCTGCCTTGGATATGACTGGATTCACTCAATGAGTGTCGTCATTTTCCTTTTTCTTTTCCTTTCAGGTTAATACGCTAATTTCATTTTACTGTAAGTTGGGATGTAGTGGGGCAGATGAACTCTTGAAAGAGAATCTAAATCAGGATTCTAGCTTTATCTTCCTTTTCCTTCTTTTTTGCTTTGTCTCTTCCTCAACTGAAGAATATGGATGCTAGAGTGATTTGGTGAGAATGATAAAAGGAAATCCGACAGGATTATTAAACACAGAATATTCCGTAGTCTCTTTGTGTGGTGATTTGAAGGAATGGATTCATATTCAAAGCATTAGTGAAACAACTGTGGCCCATAAATTTCATTTGTATTCATCCATTCCATTTAATAAATATTTATTGAAGCTCTTCTTGAGTAAATAGATACTTAAGACTAGAGGTGTATTGAAGCTTTCATTCTGGTGATTAAGTATATTTTCAGTAAAACATTTAATTGTTTGGACCCAGTCATTTAGAAATAATATCACTACATGGATTTTATAATACGTGACAATGAGTTATACATTTTTGTACAGTGTTATTAAACTGAAGACATTCAAAATTTAATTTTGGGTGGAGGGATGGCATAATTCATCAACTCTCTTCTCAAATATTCTGCCCTGTAAATAATCTTTGATTGTATAAAATCATTTCTATTCCATTCTATTCTCAAAGAGTCACATTCATTAAGAGATCCCACAGTAGGGCAATTTAAATCTCTTCCACCTGCATGGCCCAAAATTTGTGTTTCTGGATAAGAGTTAATTAAAATGCCATTCAAAGTATTTGCAGTCAGCTGTTAAATAGTGTGTTGTATTTAAACTGTGACAAAAATTAAAGAAACAAATTGGTGATTTCTCAACCAAGAACTACCAGTTGAGAATTTATTAATGGCAATGTTTAAAATAAAAATAGATATTTTTATTTTTGTTTATTTGATTTTATTCACAACAAATTGCATCTAAACTTAATGTAGATAGTTTATTTCAGATGAGAAAAGTTTGGGAAAATTTTAAATTTATTAAATTTATTAATTGTGAATATATGTGTGATAGGCAGTATTTTAATATCACCTATTATATTTTCAATATCAATACATTCAGAAGTCCATTTGGTAAATGTCAGAACCAAAGGTGATTGACAACTGATGTATATTTTCAATTAATTCCTATTTATTTTAATTTGTTAGAAAATTAAGACTTTTGTCAGTTATTAATAATTTTCCTAAGCATCCTATGGTCAGGAATTTTGTGATCTGAAAATCTCTATGGTTATTGGAATTCTAGGATTTAAGATTTTGGATGTACTTGATCTCTAGCTGAGGCACTTTTGTAGAAGTTTTCAGATTATTCTGAAGAAATAGCCTTGTGAAAACAATGTACAAGCTTCTTGAAACCACTATGTGGGAAATGAAGCCTACAGTATTACAAAGTACATATTCTGAGCTTTTTTCTTTCCTCTGTCTCTCCTCCCTACGGATTTAGCTCCTGAGCCCTTTTAGCTGGTTATCTTACTGATTAAAGAAAAGCTTAAGTCACAGCTTGCAGTTTTTCGTGACAGTAAGTTTCTGTGATGTCTGGTGTAGGCTTTCTACGGCTCTTTGCACACTGCAGACGTGTGCCTTAGACCTTGGTGAGGTGACCTTGGTGATGAGTGTGCTTTCACCATCTTCACTGGGGATGCCTTTAAAAGTAAAGTGCGTCTTGGATTTGTGTCTAACCTGTAACTTAAACAGTTTTCAAGTCTGTTTTATGTGCACTTTCTTGTCAGTTATTTGGGTTAAGATATAAACATGTCCCATTTTTATTTACTTGTGTTTCTTTGTGCATGTGTGTATGCTCATGTGTACATTAAAATATTCCACATCCTTTGTAGCACTTATTCCTACAAATATTTTTGACCTTGTTAACACACAGTCTGAGCCTTTTACACTCAAAACTGAAAATGACATGCAGTAAGTTACTATGAGTATTTTAAAGGGGTATTTCAAAAACAAATCAATCTTGTAGGTTGGACATCTAGAGTCAAAGCAACTAAATCGAAGCCCCAAAATTGCGCTTTGCTATTTTTATTTGAAATTTATGTGCTTATGCAAAATTACATTTGGATTATTTATGGTTTATGATTAATACCCAAGCATCTCCACACAAGAAAGACTTCTGCAATGATGCTGCCTCTGTCTCAAGGAGGAATGAAAATCACACTTTTATTTCAGAATGTCTTTCTGGGGATGTGAAAGAAGTTAAGTACATACTCCATGGGAATGAATGTTTGCTAACATCAAAGGAGAGTAAGTCACTGGTAGTTTTTGAAGTGCAATCCTGACCCTTAGGGCACCAACCTCACTGGCCATTACTTACTAGACCTGTAGGGCTGGAATTCTGGCTGGCCGGCAGAGCCCAGGCTAACCAAGCATGTAGGACTTGGGATGGTCCCGGTTGCCAAACTCTGCTCACCAGCTGGGAGCACTTGCGAACAGCTACACATTAGAATACGAGTGATGTGTTCTCCATGATTTTACTTTAGAAACAACTAACAACCTAATTTTTAATGAAAACATACTGTTTTGTGTGTCTGAATTTGAATATAGAGGCTTTTTTTTACTGTTAGATTTTTATCTTGCGTAAAAGTAATGAGAGAAACATCAAAACAGTTAATAAAAATATAATTTTAAATTTTGTTGTCATATGTATGTAATATATAGATACATAAATATATTTACGCTAGTGTCATCTATTGTTATTTATGCTTTAAATATTTATTACTAAAATTCAATAAATCAAATACATAGTATAAAAAGACGTTCATCTTTGCTTA